TTATTTATTTATGTTTTAGATGGAGTCACACTGCGTCACCCAGGCTCTGGAGTGCAGTGGTGCGGTCTCAGCTCACTGCAACCTCTGCCTTCTGGGTTCAAGCGATTCTCCTGCCTCAGCCTCCTGGGTAGCTGGGATTACAGGCACACGCCACCATGCCTGGCTAATTTTTGTATTTTTAGTAGAGACGGGGGTTTCACCATGTTGGTCAGGCTGGTCTCAAACTCTTGACCTCGTGATCCACCCGCCTTGGCCTCCCAAAGTGCTGGGATTACAGGCGTGAGCCACCGCGCCTGGCCAGGCCATCACCTTTTTTGCAGTTCCTGATGAGACCGTCTTCTTTAGGGCCCCAAGAGGGGCTTTCCTGGTTGGCCTCATGGCCCAGCCTACAGCAAGTCTCTGTCCCATTTCAAACAGCCCCAGAGCAGAAGGGGCTCTCCTGAGAAGTGACTTCGAAGGTGGGAGGTGGAGGTGTATGGGGTCGCTGTGCAGCTGCTTCTCCCAGACCCTGGATGTCTCAAGCAGGTGAGCCTCGCCTGGCACAGACAGCTGGCTCTCTTAGGCCTGGATCCTGGAGAGGAACCCGTGACAGCTGGGCAGAGTCTACCGTCTGTGCCTCTTCTCCCAGTCTGGACTTCTAAATTTCACCTGCTGTCAGCTGGAGAGGCTAGAGGGCTTCCACTGTGTGACTAAATGCCACTTGGAATCCACTTTACTCACAACCCCCGTCCTTGTACATTTCCCTCTCAAAACTGTTACTCACAGATTCAGCTGCGTCTCCTGTCTCACTGCACCTCTGCATGAAGGCTTTGTTCTCCTGAGCCCCTGAGCTTCTGAAACCCTGCTGTCAGGTTAGGCCTGCACCCCATTCTCTGTACACACACACGCACACACACACGCACACACACACACACACCCTATGGTCTTTCATGGGCAGAGCTCAGGAGCCGACTCCACACCGAGAAGCCAAACCATGACAGTGAACTGCACCACCCGGAAGCCATCTGCGTGGAGCGCGGCCAGCAATGCCTGTTATGCAATTTCCTGCTTTGCTGTCTCAGCCCCAGGAGGCAGGATGTGAGCGCCGTTGGTTTGCTGCAACGTGGAGAACCCACAGAAGACCCGAATTCTGATGCCCAGAGCGCATGGGGCCTCCCTGTCCCCATGGGGGTGCAGAGAAGCCACTGCCCACCCTGCATGATGAGCCGCCCGTGCAGTGGGTGCAGCAGCCGGCCCCTCCTCAAAGGGAAAGAGATGGGCTCATTGTGGGCCAGAAAAAACTGACTGTCCCGAGACTTCCGGGGTGGGGAGGGGGGTGCACTTCCTGCCCGGGGCACCCAGGATTGGGGAGCAGAGGACTGGGACCTTCTCAGTAACAGTCACCAATGTTACTGGACACTGCACATGGCCCCACAGTCTCAGGCTCAAGACTGAGAGTGCACCATGGCGAGAGGTGCTCTGTGGCCAGAGTTCGAATCCTGGCTCCGCCTTGCCCTAGCTGCGTGGTCTTAGGCAGCTCCTTGGCGTCCACTCTCCCCGTTCCTTCGTCTGTGAAATGGGGGTGGCAGTAACACCTCCCTTGTGGGGTTGTCATGAGGATTCAATGAGTTCGCACCCAGAAAGAGAGTAGAACAGGGAGTTTCCACTGCATCCGCCAGTGGGCAGCTCCTCTGAAAATCTCCAGTTTCTTTTTCCTTTTTTTTTTTTTTTTTTTTTTTGAGACGGAGTCTCGCTCTGTCGCCCAGGCTGGAGTGCAGTGGCCGGATCTCAGCTCACTGCAAGCTCCGCCTCCCGGGTTCACGCCATTCTCCGGCCTCAGCCTCCCGAGTAGCTGGGACTACAGGCGCCCACCACCTCGCCCGGCTAGTTTTTTTTTGTATTTTTTAGTAGAGACGGGGTTTCACCGTGTTAGCCAGGATGGTCTTGATCTCCTGACCTCGTGATCCACCCGTCTCGGCCTCCCAATCTTTTTCCTTTTTTTTTTGAGACAGGGTCTCGCTCTGTCACCCAGGCTGGAGCACAGTGGTGCAATCTCAGCTCACTGCAGCCTCCACCTCCCGGGTTCCAGTGGTTCTCCTGCCTCAGCCTCCCAAGTAGCTGGGACTACAGATGCCCGCCACCACACCGGGCTGATTTTTGTATTTTTAGTAGAGACGGGTTTTTGTCATGTTGGCCAGGCTGGTCTCAAACTCTTGACCTCAAATGATCCACCCACCTTGGCTTCCCAGAGCACTGAGATTACAGGTGTGAGCTACCACACCTGGCCAAATCTCCATTTTCCATACAAAGTAAGTAGGGCTCAGAGGGGCTGAGTGTCGTGCTGAAGCTCACATAAATGGCCTTGAACCTGTGGTCTGCCTTCAGGGCCCATGGCCACTCCAGGACCTCTGGGGCCCCCACCCACGCTTACACAAGAAAGCACCATTTATAAGATGGTATCCATTCAAGGCTGGGGCCTCACAGGACCCCTCGTCAGTTGCTGGCCGAGGGCAGGGCACGGAGCCCCTGTCCAGACACACTGTCCTGCCTGTGCAGAGAAAGACACCTTTGCAGGCCCAAGTTAAGGGTCAACCTAAACATTAATTGCCCTTGACATAGGGCTACTGCCTTTCTGGGTGGCATGGCCTCCATCCTCACAAAAGAGAACCTGTTCGCCAAAAAGCCAAGCTGCCCCCAATTCCTAGCTCTACCTCCAAGCCCACCACCCTCCAGGCAGGGCACTGGCAGGGGCACTTGTGGGTGCAAGGCTGAGACCGCAGGGCTGCTCTCGCCGGAGCTGGTGCTGTGAACAGAGGCAGCTGGAAGGAGCAGGCCTCAAAGACTGGCTCCCTCCTCCCATTTCCCAGGTCCTGAGCACCAGGATCCCAGCCTCAGCCCATCCTCCTGCCCCCCAAACACGTTCACGCCCGTAGCCAGCACCGCTGAGCCACCCACCCCAAAGTGAATCGCCACTTCAGAAACATCCAGGACCTAGCCAAGCCTACTTTAAAATTACATTTTATTTCTCTTTATGAATATTTGTTTTTTGTTTTTTATTTAAAAAAAAAAAAAAAGGTTCATTTTACATCTTCTTCAAGAGTCTTGTGCCTCCTGGTAAGTGCATTGGTTTGTTTCACAGTACTCTCCACGACCAAGGACGGTTCTTATTGCTGGAAGGAGTGAGTGGATGTCCACGCCAGGGTGGGGCTGGGGGACATAAGAGGAATTGGGGCCCCAGGCAGGAAGCCTGGGGCCTGTGCTCCAACATGAGCAAGGAGGCTGAGGGAGCAGACTGGGGCTTAGCTGAGTGTCTGTGGACAGACCTGCAGCCTCTCCAGGGTCTTCCCAGCCCTTCTTCAGTGAGGAAGGAAGGGTGGAAAGAAGGGGCACAGGTGAAGGTGGGTCAGGGGGCAAGGTGGGCCGGGGGCCGGGCATGCAGTGGGAGGGGTGCTGGCTCTTGCCTCGAGTGTTTGCTCACACTCAAGAAATGCGGATTTGGGGGTCCTTCACCCCCCAGCAGCTCAGGAAGCCCCTTTCCATTCCGCTCTCCAGTCCCACTTCCGGAAGAACCCAGCAGCCTGAGACCCGCCTCCTGAACCCCCAGGGTCCTGTCCCTGCTTTAGTGCAACAAAGACCTGAGTGGAGAAGTCTCCAGTGAATGAAGGCCGAGTCCCAGCCCCGTCCCCACCCGTCCTCAGACGTGCAGCTGGGACCCGATGTTCCCCCAAGGCTACTGCCTTTCCGGGTGGCACAGCCTCCATCCTCACAAGAGAGAACCTGCAGTTTCTGTGGGGAGGTCCTGGCCCCCACCAGGGGCCCCCTGAGCACCGTGCCAGCCGGCAGCTCCAGCCCAGTGTGTCCCAGGACGGCCTCCTGGCACGAGCTGGGCCTGGAGACAGACGGCAGAGGCTGAACGGTCATTAAGCACCCCTTGAATAAACGCAACAGCCCGTGGACAAAGGAGCGGGGCAGGGACCTCGGTGCCCACACCGTCCCACGCTGTCACGGAGACTCCTACAAGTGGCTCATCTGTAGCAGAAATTGATTATTTTTCTAAATGGATGGTTTTCTGTGCTTGATTATTATTAGGCTGAGTGTGGGCCCCGGGCGGGTAGCTGTGTGTTTGGCAAGCTGGAAGGAACATGGCTTCAGTGGGATGTCCCCTAATAGCCCCTGCAAGTGGCCGCAAGGCAGACACTGCCCAGAGCCCTGGCACGATGGGTCAGGACTAAGTAAGCCCTGGGGCTCCAGTAACCTGGGACCGAGGGAGGGCAGGTCCCAGGGATGGGCTTCCAGACGTCTGTCCTCACCTGTCACTCTCCACTGTGCCAGCCCAGCCTCCAGAGTGGCTCTGACCCCTCTCTACCATGAGCCCACCCAGGCCTCCCAGCCCTTGGCCTGGATTCACTTCTTTGAGGACAGGAAGCAGGGGCTCGGCCAACTGCCTCCCAAGACTTCCCTAGAGCTCAGGTGCCTTCTACCTCCATCAGTGTGGCACCCAGAGCCTGACTGCACCATCCCGCTGCCCCGAAGGCCTGGGAGGGGCGCCCCTGAGAACGAGCCCTGTCTTGGCCCTTTTACAGTACACCAGGGGCCGGCCAGCCACAGGGGCCGGGGCCCACCTGATTCAAGTCTTAAAATGCCCTGCAAGAAGGGATGTGAATGCCTTCCTTACCTTTGAGACTAACACTGAGGCTGTGTGTCGGCGGTCCGGGCGGCTGGCCCCCAGGCATTTGGGACCAGTGTGGATGGAGAAGGAAACCACCACACACCTGGAGGAAGGGCCAGGGACTCCACTGGGGGTGGGTCCCGAGGACTGAGAGGGTGAAAATTCCCTGGGCTCACAGCAGCCTCCCTCTCTCCTCCTAGAGCCGCCCAAGGGAAGTTAAGGCTGCTGGGAAGAGAGGGGAGAAGAGGCCAGGCCGCTGGCAGAGCCACCCCCTGGCCAGAGCTCACAGCCCCTCTCCGCCGGTGCCGGGATGAGACCTGGGGGTGGAGGGAGAGAAGGGGCTGTTCAGGCGGAATCTGCCTGTGGTTTTGTTTCTGCCAAAAAGAAAGAGTGAGCAGCTGGTTTCAGGTCTAAACGCCCATCCTCACCCTTCTCCCAAGACACCTGGGAAGAAAGGCTCAAGAGACCCTCCCAGGCGACCCCACCCCTCCCTCCACCTGTGGCAGAAGAGGAAAAGTCCGGTAGAAAAGAGATCCTGCTTTCTTTCTCCAATTGGTTTTCTTCCTTTAAATTCAGCTTAAGGCAAAAGTTTGGCAAAGCAAGTCTACATAAGGCCGCATGACAGAGGGCAGGGGGACCCGGGGAGGGAAGGCCGGCCAGCGCCACAAATCGGCAGCAGTGCGGATCTGTCTCTTTGATCGGGGGCCGGAGCTTCCCTCCTAATCGGCTCCTCCTCTTCCTGCCCCTGAACCCCCATAAGAGGAGTTTTTTTGAAAAACGGAAAAAGCAGTGTTTCAGGGAATCTGTTACGGGTGAGTGACTGAAGCTGTGAGCAAAAGGAGAGGCAAGGAGACCAGAGGTGACCCTGAGGGCGCACGTGGGGTCTGTCTGTCCCGCTTAGGTCTCCCCCCTCCCTGAAAGGAAGCAGGTGCTGAGCGCCGGGGAGGCCTTCCCAGGGGGCCTCAGCACAGTGAGATCCGCCCGCTGGAGAGGGTAGAATGGTCGTATCTTGCTGAATGACTGAAGAGTGAGTCTGAGTTTTGTTTTCAGCGGTATTATTATTTGCGAGTCTAACCTAGCGGGTGGCCCTGGCTGTCACCGGTGCTTGGGCGGGATCACCACCAGCGGCTGCCCGTACTTGGGCCGCCACATGAGGACCTGGGCGTCGTTGGCATTGGGCTTGACCAGGGCGCTGGGCGGGATGGGTTCGTTCTTGCTTAGGATTTTGGGCTGGTCCTGGGCGATGGGCTCCCGCAGCCGGGCGCGCTGGCCCAGAGGCCGGTTGGGGTTCACCTCGATGCTGAGCTGCATGCGCCAGTGGAGCGTCTGCAGGATGATCATGTCGTTGGTGGAGGTGTTGGTGGCCACCAGCCAGGTGGTGAAGCTCTGGTCCCGGTAGATGTTGGTGAGCTTGGCCACGTTGCTCTCGCTGACGGGCACGGCCCACGTGACGCTGGGGTAAAAGTTGTCGTTCATGCTGATGATGAACTTGGAGTCTCTCTTGGTGGGGCCCACGATGGTGCAGGTCTCCGTGGTGTTGCCGTACCAGGGGTAGTTCACCCCGTCAGAGTCGCTGATGGCTTGGATCTTGCCCTCCTGGAGGTCGGGGAGCTCCCAGCTGGACCTGAGGACAAGGAAGGTCAGTTCACTCACTCGGTCACTCAAGGAGGGCTTTCTGTGTCTCCCTGGTAGGCCAGGGGCTGTCCCGGGCCCTGAGGATGGAACGGACCCAGCAGACCACCCGGTCCCCTTTGACATTCTGGGGGCAGGGGGTCAGATAACAGCTGGGAGTATCACTGTCATCACTACCGCTGTTATAATCATAACCCTCGGACAGAAAAAGGTGGCCGGCCTGGCCCAAGTTGCTCTTGGGACATACAGGATCCCACACTCCCATGTGGCCGTGGATACAGTAGCACCTGGGAGCCCACCCCAGGCTGTAGGGGCCCCTTAATTTAACATTACAGGCTCACAGACAATCTTCTCCATGCAACCCCACGCTGCAGATACAGAAAGCAAAGGGGTGGGCTGGGGGTGGACAGTGACGCTACCTTTCCCAAAGGACATTTGGCCAAGTGGTGGAGCCTGGGACCCGGGCGCCCGTTTCCACCAAGGCACCTGTAACAGGGAAGCTCAGGACAGCCTGCGCCCACTGTGCCTTCTGCTCACCTATGTGCACAGCGGGTACTCCCAGGAACAAGTTACTGCTAAAAATACACTCCTGGCCAGGCATGGTGGCTCACGCCTGTAATCCCAGCACTTTGGGAGGCTGAGGCAGGCGGATCACTTAAGGTTAGGAGTTCAAGACCAGCCTGGCCAACATGGTGAGCCCTCCTCTCTGTTAAAAATACAAAAATTCACTTTGGGAAGCCAAGGCGGGCGGATCATGAGGTCAGAAGTTTGAGAACAGCCTGGCCAAAATGGTGAAACCCCGTCTCTACTAAAAAAAATACAAAAAATTAATCAGGCATGGTGGCACGTATCTGTAGTCCCAACTATTCAGGAGGCTGAGGCAGGAGAATCACCTGAACCCAGGAGGCAGAGGTTGCAGTGAGCCGAGATCATGCCATGCACTCCAGCCTGGGCAACAGAGTGAGAGTCTGTCTCAAAAAAATAATAATAATAATAATTAGTGGGTCATGGTGGCAGACGCCTGTAATCCTGTAATCAGAAGGCTGAGGTAGGAGAATTGCTTGAACCTGAGACGCTGGGTTTGCAGTGAGCTGAGATTGTGCCACTGCACTCCAGCCTGGGTGACACAGTGAGACTGTCTCAAAAAAAAGCATTCCCAACTCGACACAGTGGCTCATACCTGTAACCCCAGCACTTTGGGAGGCCGAGGCTGGCCAACACAGCGAGACTCTACCTTTAAAAAAAAAAAAAAAAAAAAGCATTCCTGTTCCTAGAATTAATCACAATAGCCAAAAGGTAGAATCGATCCAAGTGTCCAACGACAGATAAATGGATAAACAAAATGTGCTATATACATACAATGGAATGTTCTTCAGCCTTCAGAAGGAAGGACGTTCCAACACAGGCTACAACACAGATCTACCTTGAGGACATTACGTTGAGTGAAATAAGCCAGCCAAAAAAAGACACATACTGTGGGATTCCACTTACGTGAAGTCCCTAGTGTCAAATTCATAGAGACAGAAAGTAGAATGGAGGTTGCCAGGGGCTGGGAGAAAGAGGAACGGAAAGTTGATGTTTCTTGGGGACGAAGTTTCAGTTTTGCAAGATGAAAAGAGTTCTGGGCTGGGCGCTGTGGCTCACACCTATAATCCCAGCACTTTGGGAGGCCAAGGTGGGCAGATCACCTGAGGTCAGGAGTTCAAGACCAGCCTGGACAACATGGTGAAACCCTGTCTCTACTAAAAGCACAAAAATTAGCCAGGCGTGGTGGTGGGTGCCTGTAATCCCAGCTAGTCAGGAGGCTGAGGCAGGAGAATCGCTTGAACCTGGGAGGTGGAGGTTGCAGTGAGCCGAGATCATGCCATTGCACTCCAGCCTGGGTGACAGAGCCAGACCCTGTCTTTAAAAAATAATTAAAATAAAATAAAATGGTAAATTTTATAAAATGTTACATAGACTTTACTATAATTTTAAAAATGCATTCCCCTACTTACACATCATATAATGTTAGCAGTTAGCAAACTTGGGGCCGTTATAGGAGGAATGATTAGGAACATGATTTTGCCAATTTTCCTGTTCATCTCATTGAAAAGCTCACTCATTAGAGTAACACCTGCTTAATGGGCATCTCCTGCCCAGCCCCTGAGCACCCCAGACTCAGGGAACCTGGAGGAAGCTCAGACAACCTCACTGTCTGGAAGTACCCAGTAATTCCAAAGATCTGGGGGGGCCCACAGCAGCAGGCAGGATGACAACGGGTGAGCCTGCTCATTCGCTCCCCCGCATGGATGAAGAAGTGAGTCAGAGCCTCTTTGCCCACTGGGGGCCGGGTCTCCTATTTCAGAAGGAAACGTCCACTCTGTCCTCACCCAGTGCTTACACTTGTTTGGAACAGATTCCCGTTTTTTTGGTTTTTCAGGGCAGAAAGCAAACTTGCATAAGGAACCCTGCTTTGGCCTTGGCCCCTTTCATTTGCAAAGAGCTGAAGGCCTGGTTTGGAGGAGTGAGGCTGAGCAGCAGAACAACCCTCCTCTTCCTGACCCCAGCCTTGGGGTTTCCTTTCCCTTCTGCAGTCCTGAAACTCCCAGGCCCTGGCTCAGACACAGGCAGGTGAGGAGCCTCCTGGACTGGCAGACAGCACTGCGTCATGCGGGCCAGGGCCAAATCGTCACCAGGCTGTATGGATTCCCCCCACCTGGGGGTGCTGGGGATGCGTAGCTCAGGGGCACCTGCGGCAGCCCAGGGTCTACTGTTAGCCCCAGCTGCTTGCACTGTGGTCCAGTCACAGACGCGCGGATCCTCCACCGTCTCATCAGCAGCCCACGGACAATCCGCCGACATCTGCCTGCCAGGTTTTTGTGATGATTAAATGTATTGATCCTCACTGCCTGGTCCAACCAACAGCAGTCAGTGGACGCTTCTGGAGACACTTTGAGGGTGGCATGAGCAGTTAGAGGTGTGCCTCTCCCAGACCAGGTAGCCCTGATTTGACCTGAAGCCTTTTCTGACCTTTCATTATTATTATTATTATTTTTTGAGACGGATTCTCACTGTCTCTCAGGCTGGAGTGCAGTGGTGAGATCTCTGCTCACTGGAGCCTCGGCCTCCCAGGTTCAAGTGATTCTTCTGCCTCAGCCTCTTGAGTAGGTAGGACCACAGGCACCCACCACCATGCTCAGCTAATTTTATATTTTTAGTGGAGACGGGGTTTCACCATGTTGGCCAGGCTGGTCTCAAGCTCTGCCTTGGCCTCCCAAAGTGTCCGGGATTACAGGTGTGAGCCACCGCCCCAGCCGAATTATTTTTATATGAACTTGTTTCTCTTCTCTATAAAATTGCTATTCAGTTTTTTAATGCTTTTTGCCCACCATTCTTTTGATTACAGATTTTATTGGTATTTTTCTACTTACTGGGGATTTAAACATTCTAATTCTATTCTTTTAGTAGTTGTCCTTGAAATTTTCCCATTATTTTTGACTTAAAGGTCTAAAGTTAAGCAATATCTTAACCACCTTTCTCCTTTTTTTTTTGAGACAGTTTCACTCTTGCTGCCTGGGCTGGAGTGCAGTGGCATGATCTCAGCTCACTGCAACCTCTGCCTCCCGGGTTCAAGCAATTCTCCTGCCTCAGCTTCCCAAGTAGCTGAGATTACAGGCATGTGCCACCATGCCCGACTAATTATTTAGTAGAGATGGGGTTTCACCATGTAAGGTTGGTCTCGAGCTCCTGACATCAGGTAACGCACCCACCTCAGCCTCCCACAGTGCTGTGATTACAGGCGTGAGCCACCATGCCCGGCCTAATTTTTATATATTTTTTAGCAGACATGGAGTTTCACCATGTTGGCCAGGCTGGTCTCAAACCCCTGACCTCAGGTGATTGCCCACCTTGGCCTCCCAAAGTGCTGGGATTACAGGCGTGAGCCACCACGCCCGGCTGTAAACAACCTGAGATTTTCAATGCGGTGACAGCAGAGCCTTGAACCACGCTCGGGGCCCTTCTGAGTGCAGGCCCCGGGCAGCTGTCCAGTCTAGGAGCCCAGCAGGCCGTTCACCTCCATGGCTGTGGGCAGGGGCAGGCAGGGCCACCTGTCACAATCCCATCCTCCTAGTGACCCCAAAGGACAAGCAGGCAAGTCCAAGCTGGAACCCAGGATTCAGAACGCTTCCTGGGCTGAAGTGGCTTCCTCAGCCTCCCGCAGCATCCCTGTCTTGAGTCCCATCGTCACCCACCCAACAAACATCTGCAGGGCACCTGCTTGGCACCACATGCCAAGGTACCACACACCACGAAGCCCTGAAAGGGGTGGACAGAGCTACTGGCCTGGCCAGCAATGGGGGAGGCCTGTGTCTCCGGGACACAGCGCCATCCCGGACTCTCCCTCGCCCCTCCAGGCTGTGCCCCTTCTCCTCCTCTGCCTCCACCCTGGCCTTACCCTTCCCTGGTCTCCCAGCCTCCTGCAATCTGTTCCCCTCCCAGAAGCAGCCCGAGCGATCTTCTAAAAACACAAATCCGATGGCATGGCTCCAACCCTGTTAAACCGGCCATGACTCCCCTATGCCCTTAAAACCGACACAATTGAAGCCTAGAGCCCTGTGTTCATGCACACATGCACATGTACACACACGTGCGTGTACACACACATCCTCCCTGGGATCCAGGGCCCCAGCCATTCTCAGCTGCTGCAGCGGGCCATGCTCCTCCCTCTCAGGGCCTTCTACCGGGAGCAGCATCATCCTCGTACTCATCTTCATCCTCCTCTTCCTCCACCGCCTTTTCCTCCTCCTCCTCTCCCCTCTTACTCCTCCTGTCCTCGCTCATAGCTGCTCATTACTCAGCTCTGCAGCCACCATCCCAAAGAAGCCTGCCTGGACGCTCCACATGGGCCAGGTGCCTCCCGGTATTCAACGCCACTGGATCTCATCCCACTGCCCTGTGGCCCGTTCATGACGGTGATTAAATACTGATGCACTCATTTGCTACCAGTCT